ATATGCCGCCAATGTTGATCATAGATACGCGCTGGGGTTGGCAAAGAACAGGACACGCGCTGAGTTCCAGATATTGTTATGGCTCGACTATTGTCGTCGTTGCAGCGATTGGACACGGGCCACTACCCGAATGCTTCTCCAGCTAGTAATTATAACGAGCCCAAATCGAGTGCCCACGCAATGCTCGGGTCCAATCTATGAACCGAATTCAAATATCGTCATTGAGGTGCACTGCGATCCCCACGTTACGTCATGACATTTTGCAAAGGAGAGATTAAATGAAAATGATCGCTTTTGTCCTTGAAATTACACCGCAACAAAGGAGTTTCTTGGCCAGTGGCGTTGCGTGCGAGTATTCTTGAGTCCCATTAGTGGCAGTAAGCTCGTGTAAAGTGAAATACATTCCAAATGAATATCGCTGCACCGCTCCCCTAAAGGGGCGATGCAACAATTTTTGTACTTTGCGCAAATACCGCTTAGAACGGATCCCTGACGTTAATGACCTATGAAACACCCGTTCGTTTTTTACCCCACGCAATAGAAGTCCCCAAAAAATTAAGGGAAAACGAGCAGCGTTCGCTCTCTCAACTCGCATCCAGAACAAGCGGCCACGTGATCTGGAGCCGATTATATACCGCCAATGTTGATCATAGCCACGCGCTGGGGTTGGCAAAGCACAGGGCACGCGCTGAGTTCCAGACATTGTTATGGCTCGACTATTGTCGTCGTTGCAGCGATTGAACACGGGCCACTACCCGAATGCTTCTCGAGCTAGTAATTATCACGAGCCCAAATCAAGTGCCCTCGCAATGCTCGGATCCAATCTATGAACAGAATTCAAATATCGTCATATGGGTGTACTGCGATCCCCACGTTACGTCATGAAATTTTGCAAAGGAGAGATTGAATGAAAATGATCGCTTTTGCCCTTGAAATTACACCGCAACGAAGGAGTTTCTTGGCCAGAGGAGTTGTGTGCGAGTATCCTTGAGTCCCACTAGTGCCAGTAAGCTCGTGTATAGTGAAAAACATTCCAACTGAATATCGCTGAACAGCTCCTTTAAGCGTGTTTCACATGCAGCGATTTTGGCCCTAAAACGGCGCGATTTCTGCCGTCGCGGCGCTCGTGCCGCTCAACCGCTGGTGCTGGCCAGAGCGCCGCGACGGCAGAAATCGCGCCAAATTCGCTGCATGTGAAACACGCGGGCGCTCAGTTCATGGAAACGTGTTTGAAATCCGCGGTCTCGTGCCTGTAGCCTTCGCTGCCCTGTAAGCTTCCGTGAGAGAGACCAGATGAAGAGTGCGAAACCCGCTCACGCCTGCGCGTGCGCACGAAGCCCATAAGCAGCGGTGCATCCGGTGCGTCGCGCGGGATGCCGAGTTTGCCAAGTTCGAGCGCTCAGCGATGCGGACAAGGCTGACAACGTCGGCGTAAACCCCGGACTTACGAAAGCATGCCGACCGGAATACCTTTACGGCGGAAGCATGTGAAACGTCCCCACACATTCAGTTGGTGCACGGGGATTGTTGTTGCGACGAACCGCAGCGCGGGACGCCGTACTAGCCTGTGGGGATGCCGCCTTCGAAGAAAAGGGCCTGGCCCTCTACCCGAGCTCTCCCGGTAAAGTAATGTCAATTGAGTCGCGCGTTTTGCATTCAGTATATGGTCGATTTCGAAGTTTACTAAAGAAAGCGGTAGATGTGCCTGCTTCTGCGGCTAACCCGTGAAAGATTAGATCTCTGTGCGATCCGATCGTAAACATACTTGCGACGTTTCAAACGGACTGCTCTCTTATTTCAGGTCGCGTATAGACAATTGCAAGCATGGCGCCTCACTGGTGCCCCTTGCATGCAAGCATGCGCAGCGTGCGCGTGAACGTAGTTTATAGCTTTGGCAAGCTTGTGAATGCGCGCACTTGGCCGCACGAGCAGAGACATGGTGCTGGCCAGATGACCTGCTTGCAATCGTGGCGACGTGGGCGATCGAAAGCATCGCTGTGGCCGGCCTGGCACAATTGGCCGAACGGTGGCTATGACGTCAGCAAAGAGTTTCTCGTCGACGAAAATAAGAGGAATGTAAAAACTTCAATTCTGACGGTTTTGGCGGTGTTGCTTTCAAAACGCAATGATTATGAGTTTCCACTTTGCTAATTACAAACACCATTGAACTTTTTGTTTGCAATGTAATGACGTCACGAGAGGGAACCACAGGAGGGCTCCACTAAAACATCTCGCCGCTAATACGTAGTCGCGGTTTTTTTCTTTCGTTCACAGACATTTTGTTTCGCCTTATATTTGTGTTATTTTCCAGTTTTGGTATTAGGCGATCGGTGCATTACTATTTTTGAAAGGAGTATATATACTTGGTACTCGCACCACCAGACTTGAAATTCGATCCGTGTTTGGGACTCTCCGCGGTAAATTGAATGGGAATTTTCTGGTTCTCCCCGTGCTGTTGCATGCTTATGGTCGGTAAAAGGTTAAGAATTGCACAGCACGCGCTTGCTGTCTTTCACCGGGCTTTGACTGCGCGTGCAACGACGTGTTATCAAAGGCATAAAGCTTGCGCTATATGGAACATCCTCTGGCTTTTTAATCTTAACCCGTCATTAACTAGATTACACGAAAGATCAAGCTATTCAACAGCATTTCTAACCGCGAGTGATTAACATGTGACCTTCAGCGGCTTCTTGCAGATCTGATTGCAGGGTGGAATTATGTGCCACTGGCATTAGCGATATCGTCTGGGAAATGCAGCAACAACCGAAACAAAAAATTTGAACACCCTGAGCTGCCGCGCGTTGCTTAGAGTTGCCGGAAGTCAAGCTCATATTCCCGTGCAATGATTACAGCGGCGCGACGGTTAATCGTCTGGGACTCGGAAGGATGAATCTGCACGCGCATCTTATCATATAATGCTGTGACGGTTTTCGGAGATCGGTGCGTTCCCGAAGTAGCACGACATCTTATTCTCACAAAAGTGGCGTCGGCGACATCACGAACACGGTTACAACCCTTGTGTGTTGTATTTTGACTGACCTATAGGGAGTATTCACTGGTGGCCATAGATGTGTGCGCGACTGCTGAGCGAGTGCTGACGGCGTACTTCCACAGTTCTTTCGCCACGTGCATTCCGCACCACCAAGATCGCCGGTCTATAGCGGCCTACTAACGTTAGCTCGTTCCGAGCATGCGCTCTAAACATCGCCCTCAAATATGGCGTCCAGTGAATACTCCCTATAGGGAGTATTCACTGGACGCCATATTTATGGGTGCTGTTTAGAGCGCATCTTCAGAACGAGCCCACATTAATAGGCTGCTAAGACCGGCACTCTTGATGGTGCGGAGTGCACGTTGCAAAAGAACAGTGGAAGCTCGACATCAGCACGCGCTCAGCACACAGCTATGGCCGCCAGTGAAACTGCAAGTGTGAGCGTGGCAGAAACTACAAGAGCGTGCTCCGGGATTTCAGCGTCCCTGCCAAGCACGCCCGCTCGTGCAGTGCAAGCACTCTTCAGGGCCATATGCTCGCGCCTGTAGCTCCGGCCTCACTTGCGCTTGAAGTGAAACGGAGTATAGGGAGGATCCACCGGGCGGCCATGCTGCGTGCGTAACTGCTGAGCGCGTGCTGATAGCAAGCTTCCACAGTTCTCTTGCAACCTGCATTCCACACCCTCAAGATTGCCGGTCTTAGCAGCCGATTAGGGTGAGCTCGTTCTGAGCATGCGCTCTAAACAGCGCCCTCAATTAGGGCGCCTAGTGAACACATTCTATTGGGGAGGAAATTAGAGTGCCTTCATACACACGCGCGCTTTTGCTTGAGTGGTGACATCTCAGCCATTTTGCCGCCCATTCGTTTTTTTATGCATTTTGAAGTGGCGCGCAATCCGGTGTCACTCAGCTCGAGCGTCTAGCTTTGGCTAATACATAGGCGCCATTTTGCCGCCCAAGTCACGCACCGAGTGCGCGAGAGCGTCACGCACTGGCACATTCAGGGGAACAATGGATGTCTTCACCCTGAGACAGACAGACATGTAGGCACCCTAGAGGAAATCGCACAGTCACGCCTCTAACGGTATGCTACAACTGTGTGGCGAACAAACAAAATTTTGTTGTTTGTTGTTGATCAGAGAAATCTATGATGACTATACGAAGGCCGCTCCTTGTGCGTCAAAAGCACTGGTCAAAGCGAAGCGCTCGTGCCAAGACCGCACTAGGCGAGGTTCAAGTTCTTTGTTTTGCTGTGTTAGTAAACACCGGGCTGTGTGGACAACAAGCTCGATAAAGCGCCCCCTTTAGTTCGATCTCCTGCCCAATAGGTGAATAAATGAATAGCCAATAGACCGATCTCACCAGCCAGTTTGACTACGCCACCGCTGCCGCAATGCATCGAGGGAACTTTAGTCTTTCTGCGCGTGCGACAACCTCGCTGGAGCTCTGCGCATGCAGGGCACGAGCAGTCTCGTGCACTGCCGATTGCCCCCTGTGAACTAAAGTTATGGCTGCCTCGCGCATGCGCCGAACGCTTGGTGAGATCGGTCTATAGACCGAACTCACCAGCCAGTTTCACTACGCCACCGCTGCCGCAATGCATCGAGGGAGCTTTAGTCTTTCTGCACGTGCGACAACCTGGCTGGAGCTCTGCCCGTGTGGAGCATGAGGCGGCACGAACCGTCTTGTGCACTGCTTCCTGCCTCCTGCGAACTAAAGTTATGGCGGCGTCACGCATGCGCCGAACGCTTGGTGAGATCGGTCTATGTTTGGCGACTTTTCTTTCGCATGCCCTGCAATAGACCCCTTCCGAAAGTGAGCTTTCTGTTGGAAGCTGTGGAATCTCTGCACAATGGCGGACGCAGAAGACACGGCTAATGTTGGAACCTTAGAAGCTGTACTAATGGCATTTCATTCCTAGCTTGTGCTAATTTAGAAGCTCACATTCTGTGAAGTCGCTTGTTCCGCCATTGTAGTGTTTGAGACCTTTTAACAATGGGCACGTGAATTGCGAAAGGGGTCTATACATAAACATAAATGCTCTAAACAGTAACTGTTTAGAGTATTTATGTTGTATATTGATCATCATAAAATGTCTCTGCTCTCCCGCAGGTAGTGCATTGAAGCCTCGACAAAGCAATAAATTAGTAGATAAAATAAATAACAGCGCTCTCACTCCGATAAAATATCATGTCTTCCGTTCCTAGAGCCTTCTCGCCGCCATCATGATATGCAGCCAGCGGAGGAAATTCGGCTCGGCTGCCATCGCCGTGGTCTTCGTCGCACTTGTGCATTTCATGATACCGAGGTATGCCCACAAAATAAATATATTCCAGTTTTTTAGTGGGCGATTTATCGCTTACTTCGCACAGATTAATAATAATAAAAAAAAAACACCGGTGTTCTAAGTTGGCCGTAAGTGCGGGGGAAGGGAGAGGCGGTTCAATAGCTAGTTCAGCTTTAAGACAAACACACAGACAAAAATGCGATGTCACGACGCATCCCTCGTGCTTGATTAGATCAGATGGTTGCAACACACGAATAGAAACACGAAGAATTGCGTGATCTAGCGCACAGGTTGCGCAAACTTTTCAGGCCCATGACCCCTAAACTACCCAAACGCCGTCTCGCCATCCCCCTCCCCCGCCCTTCCCCCCCCCCCCCCCCCCCCCCCCTTTTAGAGCAGTATCTAAGCTATTAGCGGATCGGCTTCCTTAGGCCAACCTGACCCACATTTTGTTCACCTCGGATCGAGAGCTTTCCGAGACGTCTGATTGGCCCCGGCTCGTGGTGCTTGTGCCGCTCGGACTTATGATGTAACCGACTGTATCACACACTCTCTCTGGTGGTTCACTCTAAGAAAGGTTGTCTTCCCTTTGGACAAAACGGGAGGATGAGTCTAATATCATCTGAAGAGCATGGTCATTCAGTGCGAATACAAGTTTTAACCGAACACTGACGAAGCTCTTGGGACCAATCTCTGTCCCGTGCTGCCCCACGGTGGGCGACGTGGAGAGTTCGGTGCTGTACGGCCTTGGTATCCACGATCTGCGGGACGATCACGTTGATTTATGAAGAAGAAAGTTTGGCTAATGTCAAAGCCAGGAATATTTTCACTAAAAATTGAAGTCTGCTACTTGAAATTGAATATTTTGTGTCACATGCTCGCGTCGTGCTGCATGTCACTTTGTAGACTTCATTTTGAGGTCGAAACAATTTCTTAGAGCCCAATCATTCGTCCATCGTTCTCGATAGATGGCAATAATGGTTTAGTTCCCAGTTATTCGTAAAACAAAAATGACGCGTGGGCAATGGTAGTGGTATGAAAAGTTCGAAAATAGGGCGGTTGATTGTTCTGCTCGTAACGAAGAGGAGATAGCTTTGGAAATGTCCTTGTTAGAATTAGACATTGAGGCCTGAAGCACGAACAGCACACATGGTGGCTGGTGACAACGACTTTAACGAGTTCACAAGGTTATAGGATTCATTAATTCTCGATTTAATTGCATCCGGGTTCTATTTGATGAGCAAGAGCTTCACACACAATTATGTTCATTATAGGTCAGCAAGAAATCATCGGCCTTGGTAAGCTCTACTATTCCTCTACAGTTCTTTTTTTAGCATATATAATTTTATTGCAACGATGATTAAATAAGAACATCAAAATTTATCAAATTAATTTCTGGTCTGCAGAACCAAGCGTCAGTTCTGTCTGCACATCTTGAGCTTTGGCAAATTTTTAACTGTCGGTGAAAAGTTCTGGCAGAAGGTCGCGCCCAACTAATTAGTTGGACGCAAGACACTGATCATGACGTACGAACGCAAACCATTATGTAAACACATTTTGTTTTTGCGGGTCTAAACATATTTTTATCATCTTCATTTGCCAAGCGCCCTCCATAGATTGCAGCTCTCACATGTGCTTTACGGACGAGTAGGAGCAGTGAATATTTTTGAAGGCCACAAGCGCTTTGAATCGGATGCTTCTGAAACGTTTTCTAGATCGACGATTCATTTTCTTGTTAAGAAATCTAAAATCCAAGTAAAATAAAAAAAAGTCAGTAAAACGACAGTAAAATGACAGTGGCTATAGTAGATAAGCTCTAAATGCAGGCTGACCCTTTCGCGTTTGTAAATAAAACCTTTTTGAAAGCGTTTGCAATTTTGCTACCTGTCGTGAACCACGCTAGGCCAACGCCGGAACCACCAAGTTGGGTTTGTCGGCAGAGAAGGTGTCAGAGCTGAGGAGTTAGCTGTCATGCTGCTGAAACTGACGTGCATTCCCTTCATTTCAGGTACCAATATGACTTTTCCCGACACAGGATTGACAAACACGTTTTTGAATTTGACATGTTGACCAGTGAGTAACCAAGTCTCCCATTGCTTGTACGGAAATGAACTTTCTGTATATCAACCTTCTGTGTTTAAAATTTGAAAGTTACAAAAAAAAAATACTTGTCAAGCATAATAATTTTGCACTTGCCTCTTCAGTCGAGTGGCCCATTTGATAGCAGCTTTTAGTTTCGTATTTCGTTGAATAAAGGTCGACCTTTTATGAAACTACATAGAAAACGTGCTTTCTCTCATAATAAATGTGGACAAATTGTTCTGGTCTATGGATGCTTTCTGCTAATTGTGGCAAAAATATTAAGTTTAGACTAAAAAACAGGATCAGCCTTTGAAGCACTGGGCATAAAAATCCACAAGCTGATCGAAAGGTGTTAAAAAGAAAATGATTTAATTGTATTAGTACTTTTGCTACCCTCGACCATTGTTGGTATACTCTTTGCTTATCTGCTAACAATGAAACCCTCGGGAAATTTCGACCTTTATTCAACATAATACTCTATAATTTTCCCTTATTTTGCTTGATTGTATTTGAGAAAGGTTTGGGTGTTAAAATACATTGAAGTTAATATTGAAAACTAAACAGCAAAATTGTCTGATCGGTGTGTCTTCAGTGAATCATCGCAACAAGGCTTTCTGTTTTTGCAAGACAACAATGATATTTTTAAATATTCATGCACACTCTGAACAGTTTGATACGTAATTTTAGTAACTTAAGCATTGAAGAAAATTACAAAATTACTGTTACACACGTCCTGCTACTCTCTCGAGAACAGATTGATGATTTGGAAATCCTCCTGCTGCCTTTTTGAAGAGGCCGGCTCTTCGCAATTTATCTGAATAAATATATCTGCGAATACAAGTATTTACAGCTGTACCCGTAAACTTTGTAGCTAAAATTATCGCTGACGTGCTTTAACTTGCTTCTGCTATATTTCAAAAATCTTAAATACCATAAAACTTAAGACCCAAGATCCAAGTGGCAAAAGGTTGCCTTTTGCCACTTGGATCGCTGGCTGCTGATCGATCGCAAAGTTTGTGTATTGTTTTAATAAACGTAGCTTAAATTTCTGAGTCCACACCGAGTAGTGCTCAAGGAGTTATAGTTACCTTCTTGAAGCAATATACATGCCTCTAAAAGTTTCTTTAGACAAATTCTTCGAGGAAGTAATGTCACTGGTATATTGGTTGTTTTTGTTCACGCGTGAAAACATTAAAGGGGCGGTGCAACAATTTACGGACTTTGGCTAATTAATTGCGGGAATTGATCCCGGCCACATATAAAACGAAGGACCGAAAACTATTCTTTCCTGCTTGCGCTAGTTTTCATTAAAAAAAAATAAAAGAAATTGGTATCTCTGGCACCCCTCAACTCAACATTGAAGCGGCACCAGCTTCGCCTGTGACGTCATTCGGCGTGGCGTTGGTTTCCGGTTGGGTGCTTCTGGCTTCCGTTTCCCCAGCGCTCGCCGGCTCGCCAGGCTCGCCGTTCTCCCGCTCTCCAGCCGATTCCCGACCAACATGGCGGTATGGGCGGACGGCCTGAGCGACGTCCAGCGCAAGATGCTTGCGACGCGGCGGGTAGTCGAAGACGAGGTCGAGACACCAGGAACAATAACGATACCACGATACTACGAACCACGACCAACGCACTCCGTCGAGCGAGGGAAAGACAAAACGTCCGGGTTTCTCGTGTAGCCGCCGTAGGCACCTCGGGCGTCGACGGATGACGGCGACGGCAGGTTTTGTTGACTTGCGGTGGATGGCGCCACAAATAATTCATACCCGTTTAGCGGCAATATTAGGCTTTTGAAGCGTTTCTGCATGCCTAAACAACAAGATTTTTTAAACTTAACTTTAAATCAAGCTTACAATTGCCTAACACTATCACTTACAAAAACCACTCCGAATGACGTCACACCACAGGTTCCATTTGCGGCCACCATGTGGCCGCAGGTTGGGAAAAAAAGCGTTTTTTATTTTACGATTACGCAGCGAAATAGAGGTATTTTGGGGTATGGTGGCACTTTTTCTCTTACTTATGCCGAAGTAAACAGTGTAAAAAATACAAGCTGCACATTCGTTCAGTGTTAAAATCATTGCACTGCCCCTTTAAGTTGTACGTTTCAGGCGTATTTTCGACCTATGTTGCCAACCGTTGGTGTTTTCACCGTTTCTGTAAAATCTATTAGCGTTTAAGGTATTTTTCGAGCCCGCCTTTTTTAATGGAGACAATTTTATTTGAGGTTTGTGCATACCTGTATTTTTTTTTTTTTTTTTCGTTGTTAAGGAACGGAGGAAAGGTACGCCACCATGCTTCAGAAGCTGCAGGCCACCATTATTGGCCTGAGAGATTTTCAAATTTACCGTCTGCAAACCCTAGCTGGGAAGAAGAATCTGGCAACCCTTTCCAAGTCCAGGGATTTCTTGAGGTTGGTGTCGTCTTCCCTTGTCCACTTGACGATGAGCAAAGGGAGAGCCAGCAAAGTGAAACTTCAGTGATTTGAAAATAGATTAGAATGCTCAAACAATGCAAACAAAGACAAACTCAAGTCACTGAAAAATTGATAACGGCAGGTCGGGTCTTCTAGGCACATAAGGAAAGAATCGCGTGCTTGGCACTTTGGCCAACGAGAGCAGTTCACGCTGACATTTAAGGGGGATTCACCCGCTCGTATCTCAATGGGTAAATTTCGCTACACAAACCTGCGTTTCAGGAATGCACCAAAGTATTGATTATTTTGTTAGGTCCATTGGGAAGAATTGAAGAAGGTCGTGCGATCCTTAGATTTTTTCCTGAGGGCGCTGCAGCTTTTTAATAAAATCCAGAATTATGACCATTTTGACTCTTTTCAGCGCAGTTTGAGGCAGTTTTAAAATTAAAATCATTAAGATGACTAAAATGACAAAACGAATAGTAGCACTTATTAGAGGTGTCTTCTACGTTAATTTTAAGACCCTTACGGGAAGCTTAAAGGGATACCACAACGAAATTTCGGCGTTCATTTTTTGGTCTATATGTGTTCAAAAAAGCAGCATCACATCGAACATACCGATATCTCGTTAAAAAAAGTCACGGAAAGGAATTTTAAAACGAATTAAACGATTAGCAAAGAGCACCTGGTGGATGTCGCTCACGCCTCGCTTGTAATGCCCGTCTAAAAACCTTGACAGCTACACTATAAAAAAAAGGGGGTGTAGACCTTACACCCCTTGTCACATAGACGACACCCCAAAACTTCAATTGCATGTAGAGCGCACTGACGTTGTACCGACACAACCAAATTTCACGAGCGGCTTGATAGCCGAGTTGTACAACTCATAAAAATAGGTAATGTAAGTGTGACTTACTGCAAAAAAAAGGTATCGGGGTTTTCTAGGATCAACTGCAAAACCTGTGTGTTTTTTTCTTTGTAGACTTTGATACGTACTTTCGCTGTTTAATAGAATATATCGCACGGTCATCAAACCCGTCGCCAAAGTTTGGGCAGTCAGTTCGGCGTCAGTGCGCTGTACGTCCAACTGAAGTTTTGGGGTGTCGTATATGAGACAAGGAGTGTCACGTCTACACCCCCTTTTTTAGAGTGTAGTGACGGAGGTTGTCTCGCCTCCGGCCATGAAGAGAGAAGAGGGGCAGGAGGAACTCCCCTCTTCCCGAGAATCCCTTTTGTGTGTCGCAGAAGTCGCTATTGTCCCCCTAGAAGATTATAGAAGATTAACCCGTCACTCAAAATTCGTACAAAAGCAGCCGCCTCGGTGGCTGGAACGACTAGGCCATCCTCTCGACGTCAGCCTCGCCGCAGCTTTGCTCGTCCTGAAACGACCTACGTCACGATTGCGTTGGATGTCACGTGGTCTCCGCTGGGCCTTCTCCGAGCGCTTGCCAGAGTGGGCGGTTTATAACGAAAAATACAGCCACCAAGCTCAAAATACAAACGTGCGATTCTCATTTACGGATATTGTGGATCATATTCAACCTATTTTTGAACACGACGGGAATATTTCGAATTTCGTTGAAGTATCCCTTTAAATGTCTCGGTATTTGCGTATTTGAGTAAATAAACTTGACAGGGCCGTTTTCGCTAGATTTATTTTGAAAGGGCTGAACGAGATGGCGACACCAGTACCAAATGTCAAGACAGAGCATGTTGTTGTTGCTGCTCTTTCCACGAGCTTGCACGTACGGCGACTCCTGTCCTGGCACGGGTCCTTTGTTTGACATTGCCGAGATCAGTTTTTGCCAGAGAATGGTCTGTGCCAAATTTCTGTCTGCTGAATCAACCAAAAAATAGGACCAATGAGGGTCGACGCATATGTGACGTAGTGATGCCATTGCAACGTGCTGTTTCTCGCTGCCACGCGACCAGCTTTAACTTTCCATTTTATAGTGGCCACGGCCAGTCTCACGACCTATGCAGCCAATCTGGCGGTAAGAACGTACCACGTAACCTCGCGCTCCGCGATTCACTATACCCCGTTTCATTTTATGTTGTACCGCAGCAAAGGCTAGGAGTGCGAGCTCATAGCATTGGCAGCTGCCCTAAATGCACAAGAGCTTGTGCAGCCGAGATGTGCCCCAGACAAGGAGCTCGCGCTTGTAGCCTTTCCTGCGGTACACCATAAGAAGAAATACAGTATAGGTCCCACCGAAATGTCACACGCTCTCGGTAAAGCCCTTGGATATGTTTGTATGTCTTGCAAGCGTCATCAAATCATCAAATACGCTAATTCTCGACCCCGTGCCTCGTGGAACACTTGGAAGGAAATTGCGGCGCAGCACTGAAATTAGCGGTTATGAAGCGGCCCCTGAACGGAAACTGTGGTTGGGCTTTTGCTCGTGGCCTCGTGGTACGCTTCTCTCACACGTTCCTTAATAATTCTCTTTTCTTGTAAGAAACGCCAAGCTTGCCTTTTATGCAAGGACTTTAGCTCCCAGCGCTTGTTTGGCTTCCCAGGCTTCGATCTGCCGCTTCACATCACGGTCATTTTCGAATCAATCTTACATTTGCAAAAAGAAAAAAAGAATCGATGTGGCGTATTTTAACATGAGAGCTCGGGCCATATTACATTTAGTTATCTACTTGTCTAGAAATGCGATGTCTTTCATATTCGGTGCGGCCGCATGAACCAAGTTGATGATAATCCCGTGAAAACCGACAATGTGGTCATACAACTAAACTCTGATTGTACGGCGTCGTGTAGCTCAAAAGGCAAGAAGACGCAAATTCGGCCGAGTTAACGCTACACATGGCATGCACGTAATGTCCTTGCACCATGCCCGTGCGCATTCTACTTCCTCTTGCAAAAATAAAAAAAAGGGGGGGGGGGAATGCGATAGTTCACAGTTTAGGCTGCATAAGATACCAAGGCTACCACAATGGCAGCCGGTGTGACGTCAGTGCAGGCCATGAAACCACTGTGCTCTTGCCTTCGACTTTGCTTGCACTTATGGTGAAATAGAACCTTGAATACATAGATGCTTTAGACTTGCGCCAGATTACAGCCGTCATTGCTTCTTTCTTGTCTTACCGAGATACCATAGAGATACTGAGCCACTGAAACGGGCGTTGTCGAACCTTCACAAAGGCCAATACTGGAAAATGCATAGATGAAGAAAGAATAAAACAATTAAAACAGGGACAACACAACCACATCTTTCAACTAGCAACAGACGAGTAAACTTTTAACAGCGTGGAAAATACACAGTAGAGTTTAAAATGGCAATAACCCGACCTGCTATGGTAATGATGAAGTGAAAAAATAGGAATGAGAGGAAATAAAAAACGCAAGGTATATGTTAGGGCACCTGCCATGCACAGTTGCCGAGAGATGCTAAAGTCCGTCTAATCAGCAAACACATAAAAAAAGGGGTCACTGAATAGGCGAGATGTATCATGAAGGACGCTACAAGCCATCGGAGTCAAACCAGCACTGAGGGGATGTGACTGTCCGGATTCGCCTTGCGATTCTCGGAGCTCTAAGTCACGTGGTGCTGAATTGGCTGTTATAGTTACTCTGGAATAGCTCGCAGCATCGGCCGTGGTCATATACTCCCGAAAGTAAAAGGCAGGCGCGCGGTAGCGCTAACAAGCTTAAGCATTGCGCGTTGCCATCGTACCACTACGTCATACATGCATAGTCTCATCGTCTCAGGGAAGCCTCTGAATAACTTCGTGGTCTTCGGAAGTACGTCATCGCACTCGAATGGCGCCCACTCGCTAAGTTGGCCCGAGCCCGACACGGAGCGTCTTTGGACGCGTTGGCTGGACTCGACTTCCATGGATGAAGAAAGAGTAAAACAATTAAAACGGGGACAACACAACCAACACGCTCTTCTCCCAAGCAGCTTGACTTCCAGCCGAACGTTGACGCTGCTCTCATGTACAATTTCTGTCTGCGCTCAATCTCATTTTGATGACATCAAAATTCAAATGCACAGAATTTACTTGTTTGACGTCGTTTTATTCAGACCCATTCTCTAGACGTCGAGAAAATCTTTCAGATATCCGGCAAAACCGATCTCGCACGCGTCCGCTGTCGAGGTATACGGCGCGTGTCGTGCTCCATCCGCTTGGCACAAATGTAGCACAACTTTCCCCGGCTATGACACCAATGTTACACGCGCCTGTGCACTCGCGCAGCTTTTAGTGTCGCTCAAAGCTGAACGTGCGTGCTCTTCACTCCTTCAGACATGCCCGGCGCCTCAGCACGCTCGCTCACGTTGCACGCGAGCAATCAACGTGAAATAAAAGTTACAAACACGCCAAGAGGAAATCATTGTTAACGCTAATTATGGTGCACTATGTTTCTTTTTTTACGCAATTTTAGCGCTGATGAGCAGACGCTAAAAATGCTTATAAACCATTTCTGTGTTTACAAAATCACAGCCCAGACTGTTACAATGTTTCGTCGTTTCGGGATGTGAGCTAAGCACCCGCCTTACGCACGAACGCCGAGGATGGCATAGGCCAGAAACTCTTTGTTTACAAAATGCTGGACTGTAAAGATCGCACTGCTCAGCATGAGATCTTCACAGCTCAGCACGCACGTGTTTGTCGATTCTGAAAGCGAGCAAAGCACGGGCCGTACGTACTGAAAATAGCACCACGGTCAGACGCGCTGCAAGGATCTAAACAAAACACGCCGCTGCGTATTCGTCGGAAACCAAATTTCATCCGACCAACAAGCTATAGGAATGTCGCCAAAGCCGATACATGATGTCAAGGCGTCAGCTGTGTGAGCGTCTTCATCTGCACACAAATTATGCACTTGCAAAATCTGAGAATTCGAGTGCAAACCAACGCACAACAACATCAGCAAGTAGGGTGTTCACAAAATGCGTTTGAAGAGTTCGAACGTGGTTCCAACTTCAGAAATAGTCGGAAGCCGGAGCATTTTTTTTTTACTATATTGTTTGCGTTTTGCGTTGGCCGTTGGCCTCTGCCGGTAGTGGCGGACGCCGGGTGAACAAAACCTAGCTCGCCTAGATCGACGCCGAACAGCCCGTGGCCCGAGCTCACCCCGAGCGCCATACCTGCTTGCGTATGCCTGCAAGCATGCAACTCGGTTGTTCCGGAACAATTCTGCGCCATCTATGAGAAAAAGGCTACAAATAAATCACGGGTAAATCCCCCCCCCCCCCCCCCCCCCTTCAGTTCGGTTCCAAAGATCGTGCTGCTTATTCTCAGTCTCATACCAATATGAGAAAGTCGTGTAAAACAAAAATTAGTTGTTTTTTTGTTTTTTTTATATAACGAAGGCCCACTGCAGCTTCTGAAACTGACACTGAGTTTTGAGGTTAAAAAACATACAAGAGGATAAAAATTTAATCCTTGATTGATGGCTCGGTGGTCTCAGATGCCTTTCCTTTGGCTGGAATTAATTTTTGTAGACTGTCTTTAGCCCAAGACTGAGTCGAAATCTCACCCATGGTTGAGTAGCTTAACCGGAGACCCTCGGGTCTTCCTAATCTGTTCTACTTGTGACGCAGAAGTATGGAGCTGGACATAAAAAATATCAAGGATCTCGTTGGCGTGAATCAAAGCACTGCATCCAACATGCTCAAGCTACAGAGCTACGTCCAAGAAAGGATACACACCTTACAAGTGAGGAGGTCCGCACTTTCACGTTGACTTGGACACGAGATGCGATTTTAAGGGAGTATATAAACAAAACGTTGCGGCAGCTTGTTTTTGTTTTTTTTATTTATTTATTTTACTTTTCACTAGAATAGTATTTTTTGTTGCACTACGTTTATTTCGTTTGCTTGCATACAAGCTTTTTTTGAACAATGCCGATGTGCACGCACATCCTTCGTTGACAAGTTGTTTTTGTTTTGTTCTTGAAGTAGAGATTAAGAATTTTAACTGATTGTGTGCTTAAATTTCTTATGTCGCTATTTCTATTTCTATTTCTTTCTATTTATATTTATATTTTTTTTTAAGTCCGAATTGTAGGACTTCCCTTGGGTGTATAGGGTATCAAACGATTTATTTGACTAGTCAAGAGCAGCAATTGGGTGTCAAGGCATTTGACATGCTGCGGCAGAAAAAGACAGTCAACACTGGGATTTCATAAGCAAACAGACCGTTGTAGAGGCCGCGTTTTATGTTTAGGTTTTAGCGAAAAGTAACTGCCAGTAGCTTTCTACACTCATCATGTTTGCCGCTGACAAATTCACGGATACTTTCCCCTGATCGTGAGAAGCACCGAATTTTATAGGACAAGCTTTTCGGTTAATTATAAGACTGAAAATATATGTGTTCAATATCATAAAAATCCGAGACCAAGAAACAAAAAAGGGGTAAGACCTTTGTGTGTTTCGTTGCTTTTTTTTTTATTTTATTCCTCGGTTTAAGGTTTTTACGATGATCAAAGTTCACTAGCTTAAATGTATCTCTCGTGTTATTTTCCTTGTGCAATACTTCTCATGGGCAGTATTTTATTTTCAAGAATAATTTGGTTCAAAACATTATACAAAATAAAGTTCGACAGCGCACGAATGTCTTAAAAAACAGGAAATATATGTTTAAACACTAAAAGTATATGTACATACTATCTTGCGAATGCGCAATGAGAAACGCGTTCTAAGGACCAACGAACCAATACTTAGAGTGCAGGCGAGTCGGTGTGTATTGAACATAGAACGTGATGTTATCTGTAAGGAAACAGAAATGCTGTAGTCCCTTTTTCTTTCTGCCCGTTTACTGTTCGAACCCTGTTCTCCCTCAGCCTTAGGGTTATCATTATGTTCTATGGATCGTAATCATTCCCCGGTAATCCTCCTAATGAAATCTCCGCGGTTCCCCGCTTTCTTAGAATCCAAGCGATTGCGGCCGCTCGCCCAAGCTCCGATGTGTCCTGGATAATCCGAGTGGAGCCGGAGCGGGCATCCACGACCTGCTGTGGTGCTTCGTAGCCGCACTACGGATGGGCAGGACGGTCATCCTCGACAGCTCTCAGTGGCACTACGCGCCCGGAAAGCAGTGGGGAAGGACGTTCTTGCCGGTGGCTGGGCCGTCGTGCTCCAATACGCGGTTGAATAACACCATCGAGAAGGGATACCCCGGGAATCGTTCCTCCGGTGAGTGCCTCGCCTTTGGTTTGTCTCGTTCGAAAGCCGACGCCGCACTGATCATGCGTAACGCAAAAGACGCCATGTTCGCTGCAGACATGGCAGACGTGGCAGACATACAGACATGCGCCTCGACCGTGTTCGGAGCGTGGTTGCTTCATACGTATACGCATGCCCCCACCATGTCTGCGGATAGCTATTGTACTACCAGTGTGAACGTCATGGAAGGAAGAAACACGCATCAGACGGTGTCTTGCCGACAGCTTGTGAATGTTCCCAGGACTTCGGGGCGGAAAGTGGACACGGCATTCAGCCCGTTTCTTGGTTCAGTGTGAACTTCTAGGCTTCTGAAGACGACCTGCTGCTTATCCAAAAGGAAGGGAAAGTCGAGTTACCTTTTGTTGCTTCGAGGGGCTTGGGTGTCTCGCGAAATCTGAGATTGGTCGACAGGTTTCGATACTTGGCTGACCTGACTTGGCAGGAGTGCGAGCTGTGTTGGTTGGCGGCTGCTGATATTTCCCAATCGGCTCTCCGTCACATAATATTTTTGGAGACTGTAGGAGTGACGTAATGCCGTCAGAACAAGGGAACCGGGGGGGGGGGGGATATTTTTTTAGACATTTCAAAAATTTAAAAGCTGTAAAGGAAGAGGAGAGAAATCTCCCGCCTATCGCCCCCCCTGAACACTTTCGACGGCAAGCAGAACCACTAGAAACCGAGATTAAATAGGGGGGGGGGGGGGGGGGGGGGACGCTGCAGAGAGTCAAGAGCCGCTTTAGAAACCTGGGACATCGAACAAAAGATCCTATGAAGTCACTCAAGATACTCGCACGCGGGGGAGATAGATCATGCGGTTCCCCACATCCAGCTTTCGTTTAGCTGTCTGAAAATAAAAAAAAAAATACTGTAAGTGATTTTGCGAAGCTTTGGAAAAGTAGAACGATTCTAAAGATGAGTGTTAGAAGAAAAGAAAAAAAAGCCTCACCATTTTATTTTTGCGAAATTCAGCGTCTGTAAACAAAACGTGATTCCTGTTTCATGATTTTATGAACTTCAATTCCTTATTCTAAAAACTAGCGTTATAACCCCTTAGAACTACTGCATTTTGACATGGAATAACGGTCATGTTCCCAAATGGAATCCAGAAAATATCGGGCAAGCATAATTTTTGTGCTGATATATATGACTGCTTTCTTTCTCCGGAAGATGCTCACCAACACTTCGGAGTTTTTTAATGTCTCAAGGTTAAGTCTGTCGAATTTTATGCATACTGATATTTTTCATAAGCCCACTGCATACGTTTGAAAGACGTCCATAGCCAACTTCTTTTTGTCAAACCTGGATCCAGGCCCCGATGAGCGGAGCCAGATCCTGGATCTACCTTCTACGATTGTGGAACCTTTGGTGGGCAACCATGGAAACCCGTACGCATGGTGGTACGGGCAGATAGCGAGCTACGCCTTCAGACTTCAAAACTCAACCCTGCAGAAGATAAGGGAGCTCAAGGCGACTCTCGGTTACATTCACCCTATTGTTGGGTGAGTTGCTTCTATTGGTACGACTAAACACCACGTACAAAAACTTGCAAGGATAAAACATCGCATACGGGGACAAAAACATGACTTCTTTCATAAATGGATGGTGAAAGAAGTCCTGTTTCCGTCCCCATCCTCGACGCTTGATCCTTTCAAGTATTCGTATCTATTCACTAACACACTCATTTTCAATTATTACACCAGGTTCATTCCAACGTCATGCAAACTTAACTCCGTAGCCAAATGACAAAAAAAAATGCAAATGTTTTTGCAGATTTTCATTGGCACATAATTTCGGCTTGGAGTAGTCATTCCAGTTTCTATTTCTAGAGTTGGAAGTCTGCTGATGGAATTCTGAGGAGCGATGGGGTAAAGGGGGGGGGGGGGGAGGGGGAAGGGGGGTGCAGACATAGTCAAGACACATTTTGGTGACTTTTTTATTGTAGTCCCGACATCCTGTAAGAAAACAAACATGCCAAAATGAATTTGACCTAAAAATTTTAATTGATTCAATTCAGCTTTGAATATGAATATTGCTTGAGCTGGATGGGTTCCTGGGTTCACCTTGCTATACCAGTCTGGTACCAGCTGATGGGTTTGTAGTAATGAGCTCAGTTAGATATATAGACTTTTATTGGGGGTTGGATGTTCAATTAGAATTACAATTATTGACAGCCTCAGTTTCCATAAGGAACTAGATATTAATATTCATTTTTTCATTGGATTGATTAATGTCCTTTGTGATACGTGTTAATATTTTTTTAGAGCTCCGAAGAGGCTTTACATAAGGGGGATGCGCAAAATAAAACACTTTCAGATATCTTGAATTTAGTTTAATCGGTGTGGTTCAAAGGGACGGGGTTCCTGGTTGCGACGGGTTCAATGCTACGAAAAGAAAAGGTTACATTTGTTAAGATAAAATGAATTTTTGAAAAGTAAGATCACTGTATTTGGTAACCTGTGATTGAGGATAGATAATAGTTGCTCTTCGACGCTTCCCTCGTGAAAAGGTGAAGCATGAATTAAGTGAAACAATCCTACCATTCTCACTGGTTTCGGGAGAGCTGTAGGCACTAGTCTGCTGTTATTATTATGTGATAGCAACAAATCATTCCTTTTAATAAAGAAGTTTCTATTGCACGCTTCACAAGGTGTTTGTGTGGCCAATGTGACATGAACGCGCCGTACAAGAAAGCAATTATAACCCAACTGAGACAGGGTCTGCGAACTTGTTTTTGTAGTATGTATTATCAGTGTTACCACGGATTAAATGTTCCCGTTGCGGGAGACGCTTTTGGAAGCCTATCGTGTTCGCAACACGTACGTGAGGTAGGAAGATTGTCTCATTGCAGAGTTCATATCAGGCGCACCGACAAGAACGGCGAAGCAGCCTACCACTCGGTCGAAGAGTACATGACTCACGTGGAAGAATACTACGCCAAACTCTTGCTGACGACTCCCATCAAAAGAAAGAGGGTATTTGTGGCCACGGACGAGCGCCAGGTCGTCGTAGAGATAAGGAAAAAGTGAGCTCATTGTTTTTGTCTGACTCGAGGTACGCGAATCTAAAGGCCCGTTCACACACATGCGTTTGCTTCGTACCGAGTTCTTGTGATCTCTTACGACGAGAGAAGAGAGTGGCAAGGTGATGCCATCATTGAGGTGACCCTGGAATAGACCGATCCCAGCAGCCAGTTCGGCTACGCCACCGCTGCCGCAATGCATTGAAGGAACTTTAAAGCCTGACTACTCTAGCGGTGACGGTGCTGCCGTTTGGCACCGCTGGGCTGCACCGCCGTCCGGCGCCCCAACACTAGGGGGCCACATCGGCCTCCGTTTTGCAAGCGTTATAGTAATGTGGCAGCACTGGCTCTCGCGCTCTCGAGATCGCGTGCGCGCCTCCACCAGGTTTCTAGCGCTTCCGTCGTTTGCTCTTCGTTAGGTTCTTCCCTTTCGGCTCTCGATCATCTTTCGCATACCCAGCGTCGAAACCGTACTCGCTGCCTACATGGTAGGTGTCGATGGTGACCTGGTGATCTGCGTGAATGTGATCATCCTAGCCTGGTCGTTGATCTTGAGACGTTGCCGCGCTCTGAAGAGAAGGAGGCACAGGTTCTGGGTTTGGCCGAGTTGGCGCTATTGAAACACCGAGGGACAGGTCCCTTGCCGAACACGGAGATCGGTCCAATGCGCTTGGCAAGTGTGAAGGTTTTACGGTATTTGCAAAATCAAATGGGTGTACTATATGAGAAATGATCGTTTAGGACATTTTCAAATGTTTTTCAAGCCAAAAAAGAAAGAATGATATGCGAGAAAAAAAATATACGGGACTGTCAAGTGTTCCTCGGCTGCCCGGTGGATGGCGTCAGTGTGTTATATTGTTGTAAAAGATTTTAAAAGGTTTTAATGTGCACGGTCGTAAGAGGTCACAAGTGTATGAACCTCCCTTAAGACGATTCCCAATTTAGAACAGTCAATTACCAGTTACGCGATAGGACTCTATAAATAATCACGAAGCGTCAAAGTGAGGCAAGTCTGGTTAGGCTACTGGTCATACACCTTCGGCCCAAGTTTGGTTGTATAGAAAAATTTATTTACACCACAAAAAAACAAAAATAAAAACCGGGTAACTGTGGAAACAATCAAACATGGCCACTACAAAGATAGAAGGGCGGAAGAAATAAACATAACTCAGCAAACCAAACAAGGCCGCACCTTACGTCTCGTCAGAAAACGGAAGAAGGGCCTTGCTAGCCGGCATATTGCCCGAACGGCCACCCGCGCCGTACCACCCCTCCACTGCGCCTCCCACACATGTGCGAGAGGCGCGAAAGACAAGTAAATACGGCCGCCGACCAGCCAGGCATAACGACAAGACCACCGCCTGAGGAACTCATCCTCGCCCACCCAAAAAAGTTACGAGTCCATGTGGCGGAGCAAGGGCCTGCGGGGGTCCGTCGTTTCTGACCAACTGCCGCGCAACTATTGTCCCATAGCCAGTTGACTTACCGCCAAAAGGTGCAGGGCAGCCCCCCCCCCCCCCCCCTTTCCCCTCGAGGGTTCTGACCGCCTGACACAAAGCTCCGGATTCCTAGATCTCAGAAGTCATAGTGTGACAAGCGCCAAAAGGATTTCGCGACAAGACCAACAGAGAAAACGTGGGCGTTCGTCCATGTTTTTGGCTTTGTGTTCGCCAAAGATACGTTTTAAATTAGAATCAAACGAAATGGAAATTTCTTGACCATTGAACATAATCTGCCCCCGAAAAGTGTAATATAACTGTTTAATATTTATTTTACTTTTTATTAACGCGAGCGATCTTTTAAAATATTTGCTTCTGGGAAGCAGACGACATGAGAGACGATCGCTACCTTGCGTCTGCGGGGCGCTCGCGGAGCGATTCGCGATACCCTCGATAAGCGACCGGCACATTGGGGCAGCTCGGACCAAACAACAACACGCAGCAACGGCTTGCTCGTAAGGCGAAAACGAAGGGACGACGTTTTCGTCGACCGCTACGATCTACCGAAGGCAAACAGGGAAACCGGAGACAAATGACGAGACGACGGTGCACGCGCGAGGCGCCGCCAGCCACGCGCCTCTTTGTCGCCTCAGAAATCACGGTCACTTCCCTCAGTGCAGCCATGGATCCCACACGAGCGCCCTGGTAGCACCATTGCGATACTCTGCTCCGAAAGTGGAGCATATAGAGTTTCTATGGTGGTAGGAAGCCAGTGAGAGGCACTGGAGGTTCCTTATCTATTCGCGCACACGTTTACAAGGCGCCCGCTACCGCGCATGCGTGAAGGCCCCTAATCCGACAGTGTTCTGCAGGGAGATCCGCCCAGCCCGAGCAAACTTCTGCCGCCTTGATTCGCCTTGTTCAGACAAGTTTCTTCTGCCAGCTGCATACGGTACCTTGCTATCTTGTCCGTGCAGGTTCCCAGACTATGTGGTCGTTCACAATACCGCATCTTCCAGCCAGTGGCACAAAGTGGGGGCTCGGAGACAAAGCCGTTCGCTCTTCGGAGTCGTCAGCGACATCCACTTGCTCGCCGAGTCTGACTTCCTCGTCTGCACCATGTCTTCAGGGGTGAGCGCTTCTTGAGTGCAGCTGTTGCACTACAACCTTGTAAGACTCGCCGTCGCTGTTGTTATTATTTGTTTTTGTTACCAGTGGTAGTTTGCATGCTCTCGTAATAATACCATGCTGGTTAGGCAACTGGAACGCAGTATGTTGCGAAAAAAAAAAGGTATTCGCGGCTCCAGCAAAACGAACGGCACCTAGCGGGAAAACACTAAACTGGCCGGAACAGGTCCCTTCTCGATTTCTGCTCGTCTCTTCTGGCTTCCGTGTTTACATGTTGTCAGTGGATTGCGCGACAGAACAGTTCTACCGGTGACTGTGTTGTAACCGTAGTATCGCCTTGGTGACCCAGGTTTTTCTGCACGCGACCTATGTAACCGCGCGAGCTAGACATTTTGCGTTTCTCAACGTTCATCAGCACCGTGGAAGGACAGTGGGCAGTCCTTTCCTCGTTTCCTCGAAGAAAGTCGAGCCTCTGGAAGTTCGCTTACCCCAACACATCGCCGCAGGTTCGAAACGTGGAAGATAAAACGCGGGGGAACCAATTTAGTGTCCAATGCTTGCTGCTGCCCCAGCGTTGTGCGTTGAGCTGGCACATGAAGCCGCATGACCTGGATTCGACCGCCATATTTGCCCGATAGTGGCGTCCCCTATAGGTCGCTGGAGTCTCTAATAACAAGGTATCTACAATGCAACGTGGCATTTACAAGGTTACATAAAAAAGTAATTCATTATTTGCATCAGATTACTTCACAAGTCTGGCTATGATATGGTAGTAATTGGTACATCTCGTCTCAAACTATCTCAAAAACGTCTTGCTTTAATCAAAACTTACGAAACGACAAAAAGAAAACGCGCACTTAGGTGCTTAACTATACTTCACAGGAAAGATTAATATAAAAAAGTTGCTCTTAGCTTTTAAACGCCTTTTGTTTTTTTATCAAACAGAAAAGACAGAACGTGATAAATCGAAAACCCCCGTGGCGCATTGGAGAATACACAAATACACTTTTACATAAAGATTTCCTGCTAAAGTGAATATGAAGATGTATCACTATACTGTATGATGCACGTTAAAGACCCTAGGATTGCGATTGTACTCTACTGGCTAAATTTATTACCTGAACAGGACACACCAGCACGCCCATTGTGGCTGACTAACTTCCGGATACAAAACGTCAACGCATTAATATTTATTAATAATGAAAATACGCCGCAAATAAATGTAACCTTGTAGTGGTGGTCCAGCCATTTCAAGTATTGTAAAGACATTTTTGGTATGAAAATCGACTTAACCATATGAGGGGGCGTCCATCTAGCTGTGCGGTCTCTCTTGAGAAGTCACCTGTTACGACTCGCAGTTCTGCCGGGTGGCCTACGAGCTGATGCAAGCCCGTCACCCCGACGCCTCCACGATGGCCGCCTCCTTGGACGTGGAGTACTTCTACGCGTACGTTCCGTTTCCTCCCCGACGGACGTTGGGGGCCAACTGGCCCACGTTCGAGAACGAGCTGGGATGGTCGGGACCGGGCGTGCTCGTCGAGAGGCCGGGGCCACTGGCGTCCTACAACGAGGCCATGCTGAAGAAGTACGCCGACGGCTTCGTCACGGGCCGCGTCGCGAACCGCGCCGCCAACAACGAGACCGCCGTCTTCCCCGTGTTCAAGACCCTGCAGACGTACAGGGTTGCCCACTACAATGCCTTTGCTAGCCTACCTTCTCTCTAGCGTCACTGAACCATGACTAGAAGACAAGGCCTTTCTCCCCCGAACATCATCATTAGTGGGTTATTCCATGCCAAAATAGACCCGTCATTTTTTTTTTATTTTTTTTTTTTTTTATGTCTGGGATATGTATTAAAAATTAATTTGAATAAAGAAGCCTCTGAACTCCAAGAAATTATATTTCGAAGAAAATAATTTTTGTTTTTGTTGATATCATACTTTATATTTCTGTAATTTGCATAAAACTTATGCAGTTAAGAAAAATATTGTAAAAAACTTATTTATCGCACAAATATAGGTGCGCGCCTAATTACTTAATAAGATGCCCTATCTTACTTTAAAATAAAAATATTTAAACATTCAATTTTGATTTTATATGGGAGCTTCAAAACGAAGAGACTTTTTGGAGCTTTTATTTGTATGTCCAGTCTCTTACAAAAAGAAGAGGCTGGACATACGGCAGACGAGGCCGACGTGCAGTACGCATTCTCAAACTCGGGAAGCAGACGATGCGGGCCTGCGTTCGTCGGCCCTGGGCAGAAGCAGAGTAAAATTAAGACACCAGTATCGTTACGTATCGCAAAGAGGATACGGCACACGAAAGTCGGGATAACATCCACTTCAACTGAATGAAACGTGTTCTCAGGACAGCGTTCCAAAACCTCGCGGCGGCGTCTCACACCGCTGACGCCTCGCTGGCGAGCGCCGGCGAAAACTGAAAAGTTTTCCGGGAAGGGGGGGGGGGGGGGGGGGGGCGTTACCTTCTTGCCTGAACTGGAGATTGAGCTGACGAAAGCACACTGGGATTACATTTCCTACGTATTTTGTCAATAAAGGCAATGTGGGCGTTATTTTGTTTCCATGCCACTACTAGAAGCTCGTTACATGGCACGTAAACAGCGTCTCGGTAAGCATCATGGCCCAGGCCCGGGGGGGGGGCAGAGTTCCCTTTCGGATTTTACCAGGAAGGGCACGCGCCCCGATGCCCCCCCCCCGTAGTCTAAGCCTATGGAACCAGATACCCGGCTTTGCGGGGGGGCGCGACCGAGGAATACGAAACCGCGCAACCACCAGAATTCCGAGATTTCGACAGAAAGGAAGTTAATGCAGCGTAATGAGTATATTGCTTTTTTTAAGCATTAGAATAGCTCAAAATTTAGTTTACAATGTTAAATTATCACTGTGTATATTGCTGAGAGTTTTCAGTCTTCGCGTTTACCATTGCGACTGTCGTTCTTCAGCTGGCAACATTGCTTTCTTTCTCTCGTGTTTTGTCGCTCTCTTTCGCGATCTTTCACTCGGGACCCCGGGTGTCGCCGCACGGGATTTGCCACCTCCTCCTCACCCACCTTTACACCCCTCGTTTCCGCGTCGTCCGGTTAAAATATGACGCACTGATATTTAGTTACTCTCTCCGTGCCCGCTGACTTGCCCGAACCCCAAGAGACGTGGAAACCGCAAAAAAGGTAGACGCAAAAAGGTAGACTCCAAACAAAACTTTAAATAAACATTTACCCGAAGTTTCGAGACAAGTTTGGTTCCTTGTTTACGGGTGAGTGACGGGGAGAGAGAGAGGAAAAACTAACGTGGGAGCTACAGCCAAAGGCCAAACGGTCATCGTTAGATTGGGGGGGATAACAGCTGAGTGAGTGACGGAAAATGCGCATACGGATGTATGTGCATTTGCTGACGTCACGCAGTCCCGAGACGTAGCTGGTGGGAAGGGAGCCCGAAAAAAGATTCACGTTCGTTCCTCTTTGTGCGTTGGATGAACCGAGACTCAACGAGGATCCGCTTTCGCCAATTCCTCTCCAAGGCTAGCACGGTGCTTCCTTCGAAGTGAACTGCGTGGCCGGCTGCTTCCGCGTGCTCCGCGAGGCCGCTTGCCTCCACATCCTTCTTCCGGATACCGCATTTCTGTCGCGAAAGCCTCACTGCGAAGGTCACTTTCGCCAACGTATGAGGTCAGGCAATCTTTGCAAGGTATGACCAAGCCGGGGGCCCTTTCCTTGGGGGGCCGATCCTTCGGGAGGGAGAGGCGATGACCGATTGTTGACGCGGGCTTATGAGTCACCGCAATCCCGTAGCGACCGAAAACGCGGGAAAGAGCCTCGCTGGTGCGGCTAATGTAGGACACACTACATGAACGCACCCTAGGGCACACAGACTCGATCGGAGGGGGAAATGCTGCGCTCTACGGGTAGACGCCTTGACTTGTCGAGTATCCGAAGTATAATGGGTGACTGCCAGGGTGCAGCCTTCTAGCTTCGTAAAACATCCACCCGGAGGGCTAGGCTTTGCGAGGGACCAAAAAGCCTGCTGCAGATTATGAGCTTTCCTAGGCTTATCTTCTCAGAATCCGGCAAGGGGACCTCCCCCCCTCCGCCTAGCAATGCAGCTAGACAAGAGGGAAAGGACAAAAAAGAGAGCGAGGAGGACTTCTGCAGGTCCCCGGACCACCAAAGAGCAATAAGAGTTCGACACTTCTTGTCAGTCATAACCCAGGCAGCACACCAATGTTGGACCTACATCGGGCCAACAATGGCAAACGCTGGCTCCGGAGGTTGGTCCAACATTGGTATTCTGGCCGAGCGCAACTTCTTCCAATGTTGGCCCAGCCATTGGCACCAACGTTGGGCCATCGTTCAACCAATGTTCCAGCCATCATTGGCACCAACGTTGGGCCATCGTTCAACCAACCTTCCAGCCGTCATTGGCGCCAACGTTGGGCCATCGTTCAACCAATGATCCAGCCATCATTGGCACCTTTTTTAGGCCATCGTTAAACCAATATTTCAGCCATCGTTGGCATCCACACTATGTCGACATAGTGTGGATGCCAACGATGGCTGAAATATTGGTTTAACGATGGCCTAAAAAAGGTGCCAATGATGGCTAATGATGGATGAGAAACAGGCCAGGGGTTCTTAAAACTCAATGTTGGAATAACCAGGATTTAAACACATTGCCATCATTGCATGGCCAGCATTAAAGATATGGCATTAACACTGGGACATGCCAATGAATCAGCTTGACTGCAGATAACGGCCTATTCAATGATTGAACTTGTATACCAATGATGGCATAGCCATTGAATTAGTGTGAAAGCCAAAATTGGCATAGCCAATGATCATTGGCTATGCCAATTTTGGCTTTCACACTAATTCAATGGCATGTCCCAGTGTTAATGCCATATCTTTAATGCTGGCCATGCAATGATGGCAATGTGGTTAAATCCTGGTTGTTCCAACATTGGGTTTTAAGAACCCCTGGCCTGTTTCTTATTAGCAGCCCACTGCAAGAAAAACATTCTGGGCACAAATGGCAAGGTCGTCCATGCTTTGTCTGTGCACTATTTTATCTGGCGAGCAAATGACTATTTCAAGGTCAATTAATACTTTTTTCGGAACTTTTATTGAAAGGGGCTAGGGAGGAAGCTCAGCGGGGAGCCTATGCCTGGTCCTGGGGAAGGTCCTGGGGGGAGTCCTGGGGCTGGGGAGCCATTACGGCTTCCGAACGCCTCTTCCTGCAGCCTCCCCTGTCGCAAGACCCTGGCAGCCACTTCAGCACCATTTTTAAGCTGACGATTCTTCAATTGTTAGCCTCGCACTGATGGCATCTACGAAAAGATCCAAAGGTCAAAGGTCAACGCTTTCAAACCCACATTGGTCTTAGTAAATCACACTCCCAAGCAGCACTTCAACAAATGTTAAGGTTTGAGTGTCCCCTAAAAAGTTCCTCGCTCACGACTTTTCAGTCCTTGCGGCGTAGCACCCGTGGTAGCCGATGATCAGGGGTCTACGATGTCAGGGCCGAGGTCCGGACGTAGTGACGAGGCAGTTGACCGATGGCCGAAGGCTTGAATCAGGCCCCGTACGCCGGTGGCAGCCTATGACCAGGTGTCCGCCAAGGTCTGGGCCGAAGGACGTAACGACGAGGCAGTTGGGCGTTGGCCGAAGGCTTGAGTCAGGCTCAGAACGTCTGTGGCACGGAGTGGCAGCGGGAGTTCAACTGCGCCACGCATGCAGTCTTGTCTACCTCCGGAAGGTTGGCGCCCGGACTGCGTGAGTGGGTTGTGGGTCGGGCCTCTTGACGTCTGGTCACGCCGACGGAGGTCCGGCCTGGTCGCGTCTGCACCGTCCTTTGTCAACCGCCCGAATCCCCTCTCGCGCTCCTCGCATGCCCCCACCTCGTCTTCTTCTTTCTCGTCCTCTTCGGCTGGTCGCGGGATCGCTCATCACACCAGACTAAAGCCTGGTTCAGACAGTTGCGTTTGACTGCGTTTTACTGCGTTGCGGCAGCGAGAAACCAGGACATCCCTGCTGCTTATATCGCGTGCCAAGATGATTCCTTGAATTGGATTCCACGCTTCATACGAAGCACAGATGTGCCGGTGACTCGCTTTCGGTACTCGACGCAACTCAGTCAAACGCACTCAAACGCAAGTGTCTGAGCCGGCCTTAAGCCAATCAATTGGCGACGTGCGCGACCGAAAGCGTCGCTGTGGTCGGACTTTCACGATTGGCCCAAAAGCTGACTATGACGTCGGAAAGGGTATACCATCGACGGAAATAAGAAGAATGAAGGAACTTTAATTTCGACGGTGTTGGCAGTGTTCCTTTGAGAACGCAATGATTTCAGGCTTCCACCATGCTATTTACAAACACCATCGAACTTGTTGTTCGCAAGGTAATGACGTGACAAGGGGGAACCATATGAGGGCGCCACCAAAACATCTCGCCGCTAATTACCAACGTTGGTAGGCCACTGGCTAAGACAGGCAATTGGTGGCCAGCTTAAACCAATCGTTTATTTTTAACCTGTCACCGAACACGGTTTTTTTCTGCGTGGACGTTCAAACTTGCTACAGCTCGCAAGGCATACAGCGTTCTAATTCAGTTGCTAACTTGCTCTGCGTGTGAAAACAGAAGAATCGTTCCCCCCGGAGGCATAGCTAGAGATTGTTCTCAGCGTGCGCGATCAGCACATTAAAAGAACTAAGCCAATTATATATAACATTGGTAAGCCACTGGCTAAGA